TTATCGCTCAGCCGCGAGACGGTAGGAAAAGTCGTCGCAAAGTATTATTAAAATTTGTATAATGTATTAAAATATATATATTTTTCAGAACTAAAAAGGCAAAAAAAGAAGCATTACAAAATGAAACTCCGAAAAATTACAGTGATGATGGAACTACGTCTAAAAACGAGGAGCAGACATAATTATTTTAAGCAACCTCTTTTATTAAGGAATGTAATTTAAAAAAAAATAAAAAAATTTTAGGAAACCATGACAAAATAGAAGTGTTCAATTTTTATATATAATATATTGCAGAAACACTTGGGAAATATTTCATTCGAGGAATTGCAGATACATTTCAGATATATTACTGCAATATAATAGACATTTTGAAATAAATATAAAATGGAAGCGTTTGATTTTTTACATGCATTTTTATGATAATGTAAATCTCTGGTAAACAACTTCTGAGATATATCTCAGAAATATATCTAATACATTAATATTGATTATATTAATAGAAGTCGTTTACCAGAGATTTACATTATCATAAAAATGCATGTAAAAAAATCGAACATCTCTGGTAAACAACTTCTGAGATATATCTCAGAAATATATCTAATACATTAATATTGATTATATTAATAGAAGTCGTTTACCAGAGATTTACATTATCATAAAAATGCATGTAAAAAATCAAACGCTTCCATTTTATATTTATTTCAAAATGTCTATTATATTGCAGTAATATATCTGAAATGTATCTGCAATTCCTGGGATAAAATATTTCCGAAGTGTTTCTGCAATATATTACATAAATATGTTTCAGAAATATTTCAATAATATCACCGAAATATTGCTGCAATCTTTCAGCAAGGTTGCATTTGAAATGATTACGGACATTGAAACATTGCAGAAATGTTGCAGAAGCGGTCATGAAATATTTTTGCAATATTGCTGAAAGATGTAATATTTCAAATGGAATATTGCAACAATGTATCAGAAATATTACATGCCGAGTGGGTATTGACTATATATTATTCAGAATTGTTGTTATCCACTAATACACAAGTACAAAAACTTACTTTTCGATTTAACGGAAGAAAATACTGATAACGACGATCCTTCCTGATTTGGATCCGATCGTCACTTGCGTGGCAATTGCAGGAGGCGAAATCGACGCTTTGTCGGCAAATAGTGAATCCATAACCTATTGCATAATAGGGATAATATATTAAATATACAAATATATCTTGTTGCATACCTGTGAATATCGTATACAATAAACAAAATATGTGTGTGTGTGTGTGTGTGTGTGTATACATATATGTGTGTGATAAAACATACCGAAAAAAATGCCCACGAATTTCTACTATTGCCGCTCTTCTTATTTTGATCAACAATATTTTTGTATGTCCGCTTCAAGCCAGACATTTTTGATGTACATTGCTGTGCTGTTAATTCGTAGGCTGGATTAGCTTCATTCATTTGAGCAGCAATTTCAGCCCAAATTTTGTTACTGCGCTTGAAACCATTTGTGAACTCTTCCTCCTTTTCTCTATATATTTCAATTAATAAATATACCGCTTTGTCTGGCCATACAAATGTTTTTAACTTATCTAAAAATTAAATTAAAAAGTAAACACAAAATTTAAAGATTAAGAAATATTAATATTTATATATATTGTTCTTAAACTTGCATAAACATACTTTTATACAAAATTAAAAAGTTGATTATAGATATTGATTACACAAAAATAAAATACATCTTACCAGCATTGTTTTTGTCAGCGGTTTCATTCGCATCTTCCAATTCAACTTCTGGCTCAATATTATTGTTTTTATTTACAGTGTTATTTACATTATTATTTACAGCATTATTTATAGTATTATTTACAGTTCGTTCCTTTGCAACAAGATTCATCAAAAACGCTGAATCTATAAAAAATAACACAATAGTTAAACTAACGTCTAACCTATACATTAAATAAATCAGGGTAAAATAATACATTAATTTTACCTTGGCTTGCTTTCTCCATATCTTCTTGACTTAGAAATAAAATTATTATTTCGTTACTTTCTTCTATGAGGATCTTGGGAGTAACTACACATACAAGCATCGTGTCTGTAGTGTACATACTTTTGTGTACACACACATGGCCGTGCATGCGCACTTTTGAGCAGAGTTACTCACAAGAGAGAGGCAACTATGATTTTCTTTCTTACTTCCTTCCGACATGTTTTTCTATCGGGAAACAAAGGCATTCTCCTTCCATTTATATATGTTCTAAGAACGCACCTCAAGTCTATGGCGGCAAGCGACGCGTGATATTTGACAGCGCGTCGAAAAAATAATTGTCACGCAGCGAGCGGGGAGCGATGTCACCGCGCCGAAAAATAATTGTCTCGTCTTTTCGATGGCAAGAAAATGATGCGCTATCATTTCCACACCACCTTGCGGTAGGTAGCTTGGTGCGCTTTTTTATAGTGATTTCCCCCGTAGGCCTAATCCACTCTCAGTATTTAATGCGAAAATTGTTCGAAATGTCGTCCTCCTTCCTGTACGCAAAGTTCGGCCCTTCGAACAATGTCGTGCGTCGCACGGTGTGCCATATCCGGCGTAATGGTATTGAAAGCCGCAAGAATAGCTGCACGTACTTTGTTTTCTCTATCATTACGCCGGTGCTCGATTAGACTTTTTATGTATCCCCATACAAAAAAATTTAATACATTCAAGTCTGGCGACCGTGGCGGCCAGGTAATCGGGCCACCGCGACCTATCCACCTATCTGAATAACGCGCGTTTAAGAAGTCGCGTACCTCCCGACGAAAATGAGGCGGTGCTCCGTCATGCTGAAAAATCAGCTGTGCTCGCATGCGAAGGGGCACATCCGCGAGAAGGCCTGGCAACTCGTTTTCGAGAAAAAGTTTGTATATGTAGCCAGTTAAACGGGGCGGAAAAAAATATGGACCGATCTGAAAATTATGAACGAAAATATTTCATTTTAATGATGAAAACTTAACAAAGAAAAAATTGCTTTCTTTCTATTAACACGTACCACTTGATTTCCGATTATTCCCTCCCATACGTTTATGGACCAACGATATTGAAACGCACCTTCACGGATGACGTGCGGGTTTTCGTTTGCCCAATATAAAAAATTGCGTGAGTTGAACACGCGCCGTTCGGTGTAAAGGTCGCTTTGTCAGTCCATAAAATATTGCCCGGGAAAGACTAATTTCGCCGACATTGCGCGAGGAACCCTGCACGTGTTTTTCCGACGGTTATTAGATTCTCAAATTATAAAAAATCGCGAATATAAAAAATCGATGATGACAATACCTTCGCAAAAGTATATCCGTTGTTGTAGATCCCTCGGTAAAAGCTGTTGCACACGCTAATAGTAGTATATTTTGTTTGTACGAAAAGTATGATGTACCATGTATCGCGAGACACTGAATGCATTTTCCGCATGACACACACTAATCCCAAGATTTTCGTCGAACACCCACAAAACTGTTCTTCTCTTGAATGCAACGACGCGTTTGTGCACTAGCGTCTCTACATTGTTAATTTAATGTCCTTCGGACGTTACACACAGGTCACTATTTTGCAAGATATTGTTCACATCCACGAAATCGCTACGTATAAATCCGAGCCGTGGCACACACATTTTTCTCCGTTAGCCGGTAAGTAATTATCACATTTGTGTAATCTTGCGGAATAAATCTTATTATCGCCGTCAAACACACTACGCGAACACGAGAATTTTACGCGACTACGATGATCAGCCAGCTGATTGTGAGACTTCGTCTTTTGTTTACAATCGCTAGCAGTCTATTATTTCTGCTTATTGTTAGATACGTGCATACGATGTTAATTTGCAACATTGCAATGTTGCTGCAATATAATCGCAATGATCTGTGCTGTATGGGTCTCTTGTGCAATCGCGTACAAATTTCGTGTTTGCGTAGTGATAGAGAGCGACAATGCGATTTACTCCGGAAGAATATACCGATATGGTAATAGCCTATGGGCTACCGGGCGAAAATACGCGTATCGCGGATCGAATATATGCGGAACGATTTCTCGGGCGTGCACATCCGACAAAACGGACAATTTTAAAAGTTGTGCAAAAATTGCGTGAAAAAGAATGTCTCATGCATAATAAGAAAGCTGGTGCACCAGTGCGTCGCCGTATACAAGACGAAGAGAGAGTACACGATGCATTTTATGATATCCCGGGACTAACGTGCATCGTACGGCACACGAACTTGGTTTGTCGCAGTACGAGGTGCATCACACTTTACGTGTGAACAAATTGCATCCGTACCATTATCGACGTGTGCAACAGCTTTTACCGAGGGATCTACAACCACGGATATACTTTTGCGAAGGTATTATCATCATCGATTTTTTATATTAGCGATTTTTTATAATTTGAGAATCTAATAACCGTCAGAAAAACACGTGCATGGTTCCTCGCGCAATGTCGGCGAAATTTGTCTTTCCCGGGCAATATTTTATGGACTGACGAAGCGACCTTCACACCGAACGGCGTGTTCAACTCACGCAATTTTTTATATTGGACAGACGAAAACCCGCACGTCGTCCGTGTAGGTGCGTTTCAATATCGTTGGTCCATAAACGTATGGAAGGGAATAATCGGAAATCAAGTGGTACGTGTTAATAGAAAGAAAGCAATTTTTTCTTCGTTAAGGGGATCCTGGACCATCATGTTTTTACTGGTAAATTCAAAAAATTGCGTTTAGTCGGTAGTCCAGGATCCCCTTAAGTTTTTATCGTTGAAGTGAAATATTTTCGTTCATAATTTCCAGATCGGTCCATATTTTTTTCCTCCCCGTTTAACTGGCGACATATACAAACTTTTTCTCGAAAACGAGTTGCCAGATCTCGCGGATGTGCCCCTTCGCGTGCGAGCACAGCTGATTTTTCAGCATGACGGAGCTCCGCCTCATTTTCGTCGGGAGATACGCGACTTCTTAAACGCGCGTTATCCAGATAGGTAGATAGGTCGCGATGGCCCGATTACCTAGCCGGCACGGTCGCCAGACTTGAATGTATTAAATTTTTTTGTATGGGGATACATAAAAAGTCTAATCGAGCACCGGCGTAATGATAGAGAAAACAAAGTACGTGCAGCTATTCTCGCGGCTTTCAATACCATTATGCCGGATATGGCACACCGTGCGACGCACGACATTGTTCGAAGGCCCGAACTTTGCGTACAAGAAGGAGGACGACATTTCGAACAATTTTCGCATTAAATACTGAGAGTGGATTAGGCCTACGGGGGAAATCACTATAAAAAAGCGCACCAAGCTACCTACCGCAAGGTGGTGTGGAAATGATAGCGCATCATTTTCTTGCCATCGAAAAGACGAGACAATTATTTTTCGGCGCGGTGACATCGCTCCCCGCTCGCTGCGTGACAATTACTTTTTCGGCGCGCTGTCAAATATCACGCGTCGCTTGCCGCATGCTGCGTGACTCCACCTCTCGCTTAGATGCTTCCGTTACTAAGAGACGTAAATAAGTCAGCCACCGTACATACCTACCGATTCCGGCCTACCGCTTTCCAACGCGCTCATTAGCTGAGGTATTTTAATTAATAACGCAATAACTATTGCGAATTTAGCAAAATGGTACAGGACTTTTCGACTCAGTTTGACCCAATCTACCTGCACCTTTCGTTTGGTCACTTACTTGTCGGACACCCTGTATATTATCTACATATATTATCATTCACATATATTACATCAAAATAGTGTATATATTTATAAAATGTAACGTTTTAATGCTACCCGGGCACATCAAGTTTTCATACTTTGCTTTGATGCAAGTTTGTTTTATACGGGTTAGAGTTTATGAGAAATTTTCTTTCAAATTATACATCCTGTAAGATATACTTTGCAAATCAAAGGAATCCTAATTGTACTAAACATTGATTATGAATTGATGTTATAGCATACAACATATGATAAGTACTTGGCTAGTTACATTGATCTCATGTATTTTTTAAAACAGTTTAACAATTTGTTAACTGTGTTTAACATTTTGTTAAATTTATATTTATTGCATACAAGTTTCGATATCTTTTTATGTACTAGGCGTGTTTTTTTTTACCTTTTCTTAAAAAGGTTTTTTTGAGGGAATTTCACTGCTTTTTGTAGATTCTTTTTGTAATATTTGTTCTGCAAAAAATATATATGCATTCTTAGCGTTGCGAGACCAACTGCATTTCTCTACATTCAAATTATTTATTATTACTCATTCTCTGTACCTTTAGCACGTACCGTGTTTATTGATTTATTTGGTTAATTATTTTATATTTAATAAAATTGAATAAAATTGATAATTAATAAATAAAAATAAATAAATATAAAACATGTATTTATTCCATAAATGCTGTTATTGAATTAACAAGATTATTCACAATTATAGTTAATAAGTTATTGCACAATTTTTTTGTTTGAAGAGACAATAGTATAATTACCAAAAATTACTATTGATAAATGATAGCTAATCGCACATGCTATTTTTGGAATTATTTTATCAGTTTTACATTTATAAAATTAAACGATACAAATTCAAATATGAGTGCACACATTCTAACATGCCTTATATATGAGCATTGCAAGTGCACCATTATGGACAAACTCGTTTTGAGTGTGTGGGTATGTGAGTCTGAAATCGGAAACTCGGAAAAAATGTCACTTTTCGTAAAATAGGTTTCGAGATCTAAAGATTGACTGCACCAATCTTGTTCAAATTAGTGGCAATCGAAAACTTGAGTCAACATCATATAAGAAAGGTGCCGTTAGATTTTTGATTAAAAACTTTATTTCCTGAGATATTTTAATTGAAAGCACATTTGACAGAAAAGTCCGGATAAGCTTCTTGGTAGCGCCTTGGCGATTGCCGGGAATGTAGTCGCAGGTTGCGGGTCGCGGGACTAGTCGTTTTTGTGCTTTCGCGCGTTTTATGTACTTGGCGTCGCGACGCTACCGCGTCACTTGATAATATTCAGTTTTTATTGCATCTATATTAGTAATTGTACTTTGCAGGCGTGTTTTATCTTTACTGTTTTCGTCGTCACATTGTGACAGCAGGCTATGCTCGACTTTTGCTGCGTTTCTGCCGTCACGTTGCAACGGCAGGCCATGCTTGATTTCTGCCGCATATCTGCCATCGGTATCTGATATGGCAAAGTTCGCTCGATATTTGCTACATATCCGCTGTTACGACGTAATAGCAAATAATACTCGATTTTTCTCCATTTTCTCTTTTATATTATATCGACAAGCCAAGCTTAATGAGAACGCAGCAGAGCGGAATTTGCTGCAAATGTATGATTGAATTTGCTGAGATACTGCTAGCAATTTGCTAATTGGGAATTTAACGCGTAATCGAATCACGAATAATAAAGAAATTATTTTGTAATTTATTATTTACGATCCTGGCTAATAATTATAGATAATATTATAATACACAGGTATATTCGCGTGGAGTAATAAGCTCTTGACCCTCCTCCGATTAATGACTACGATCAGCACGAAAAAGTGGGGAAGTATGTTCGGATTCGCGTTTGCGCTCGCGCATGATATAATATAAAAAGCGTCGCGGCGATGATTCCGGTCAACGTGTCGATCCATCGTCATCGACGAACGACGTTCAAGGAAGGTCACGACATTTCCGTACCACTCACAATCGGCAGTCGCATATTAAGCTTCTTCATCGTGCAACCGAGGAGATTGCGTCTGTGTTAAAGGAAACTGCTTTTGAACAATTTTCCCAGTGCTGCATCATGGGCAACAGCATCTCTATCGTCTCGCTGTCAGTAGGTTAGTCTGTAACTTCATATATTTTCAGTGGGGTATCTGTTGATTAAAATCTAAGAAAAAGGTATAATCAAAAGTTATCCCGTTGCGACATGTGTATTAATATCAAGCGACGTGGTAGCGGCGCGAAGCCATGTAAATAAAAAGCGCAAAGGCGCGAAAACGACTAGCCCCGCGACCCGCAACCTGCGGCTATATTCATGGCAATCGTTTTGTCAAACGTGCTTCCCTGGTGAAAATTAAAAGCTTCTCGAAGCGTCAACGAAGTGTAAATGAATAGAATTAACGCTTATTAGAAACTTCATTGACTTTCCATTGACTCTTCGCAATTCAAACCTCCATACACGCTTCTCGAACGCTCCATAAAGCATGTATGGAACATTCTATTACATTTCCCGCACTCTCCAATATTTCATGTTTTCCTTTACGTTTCCCAAACGCTCCACAAAATGTGTACGAAGCACTCCGATACGCTTTGCTTACGCTTCAATAATTTATATTTAGAAACTTTTCATCTACGCTTCCTAAACGCTCTGAAAAGAGTGTACGGAGCATCCCGATACACTTTCCTCACACTTCAATGATTGACACTTAGAAATTCTTCATCTACGTTTCCTAAACGTTTCACAAAACATATATGAAACACTTCAATACGCTTTCCGTACACTTCAACAATTTATATTTAAAAGCTCTTTATCTACGCTTCTTGAACGCTCCGCAAAGAATGTATTAAGTATATCGATACACTTTCTACACATTTCAATGATTGACACTTAGAAACTCTTCGTCTACGCTTCCCAAACGTTTCTCAAAAAGTGTATAGAGTATCCCGCTTCATACACATTTCTAAGATGGAACTTTTTGTTCACGTTTTTAATAAATATTTTTTAATAACGTGCGCTAAGCTTACGTTTCTTTCAATTCAAAACTTTAGGAATTTTATCAAATGCTCATTTAATTTATAAAAATGATAAAAAACTTGAATAAACAGAAATACTTTAGGCAATTATTTGAGATTTATTATATAATATATTATTTAAAAAACTTATTCAAACTAATAATAAAGTTAAAAGTAATTGAAAAACTTTATAGAAAAAGCGGAATATATATTATTTCTTATTAATTACTTTTTATGATACCATGTTGTGAGAACATTTTTTACCAATTTTGCTTTCATTTTATCTCGTTTTTGTTTAAAACTATACATTGATACTAAAGTTAAAAAATGGATTTAAGGAAATGATTATACAACTTTTTCATTGGGTTAAAAAATTAAGATAATCGAGGTATAAAGCAATATTAAGTTTATTAATATTATATTTTACAGTACTCAAATATATATTTGATTACATAGATATGAAGTATTATTTAATGTTATGTGATAATGATATGAAGTGAAATAAGTCACTAATCGCCATAACAACCAAATGGCATTTTGCAAAGATATTTGTTGCTTACGAGGTCTATAAATACACATTGAGCATCTATTTCAAAGGGTTGAATACAAAAAAATTTCCCGTAACTTGTGAATTGTTTAATTTGAGTATATTTAGTCTTCATCAGACAACAAAGATTCCTTCTGCACCACAACCTCTTGCACTAGAATTAATACTTTAGAATCAGATATATGTATAATCTTTTTTATAACGGCTATCATTTCATAATGAGTCAAAATATATGAGTCATTATGTTTCTTATTAGCTGCATAATCCTCAGAACAATATCTTATACCATTATATAACATTCTTCTAAATAATGTACAATCTTCTAAACTAAAACTGTATTCTTTAACGCAGATATATTCCTCGGGTAAAAATTTACATATTTCTTTTTTACCTAAGAGAACTACTCCTTCGCATCTTATAAAATGCTGCAATTTATTTTGCATAACATTTTCACAGAATTTGATTACCGATTTGGTTGATATCAACTCATTGCACAAAATTGGTAAATCACTGAATATCAAAAACTTGCAAGCTATTTGCTTTACAACATGACCTGGACTCTGCAACAATTGCAGCAAGTGGCGATTCTGTCCTTCATACACAAAAGCATTATGAGTCCAAAGAGGACCCCAGTTTAAAACATTTTGTGCAATGTGAGTTAAAAGATGCACATTTAATACCATTGATGTAACACCAAAGTACTTATTAAATAAGAAAACAACTCAAAAATAACTCGTGTGCCTGTACGACATTTTCTTTTGTAACAGACTTTTGCAGAAGCATGTTTGTAGCTTTTGACAGCATAGCAAGATGCTTTAAATATTTTTTTTTTTAAAAACCTTTCAAGCACGGTATACAATAAAATATTAGCCAAGATCTCCATTCAGACGCTTTCCAAATACTTATCTGTGAAAGAGAACGAACGGATCGAGTGATAGAGGTCAAAGCACATATGTTAATAAAATGTTCATCAATGGCAGATATTAAGTGCTTCATAGCTATTTCATCATTGTTTCTCATATTTTTCCAAAATTTTTTATGGGTAGAATCAAAAAGCAATTTTGTATGCAATCGAATAACACCCAGAAGAATACAATGCATATAACCGGGCACAAATCCAGCAATCAAATTAAAGAAATGTAATTGTAACAATGCTGTTGGTCCCTTCACGCCTTTTACATATCGCTTTCTTTCATCACGTTCGTTTCGCTTTTCATAAGTTTTCTCGATGTCTTTTATAGTACTATTTGTTGTTCGTTCAGGTGCTTTGTATGTACATGGAGGAAATCTCTGCCCTTTCACCGTATGTTCAGCTTTTTGATAACAAAATGTACATGCATAGTAAGCATTGATGCCAGACATATTTAACATTTGAAATCGAGCTACAGAATCAACGATAGCACACAAAGGAATCACTTTACTTATTACATCTTTTCCATTGTGATTCCAATGAAAGCCGTGAAGAGACAACTTGTTAGCTTGTTCAATAAAAGGTTGTAAAAAAACATTTTGATTTGGATCTTTTTTCCCAACATACAATCCGGCAAGTAAGACGTGTTTACTCCTTTCCTTTGGTGGCAGTTCATTTATCGTAACATAAATGGGCCATATTGTTTTGCCACAAGATTTACCCATAGGAATACCATCAGTACTAAATGAATACGAGAAATTATAAAGATGTGAAAGAACCTTTCCATTATCAAAGTGTTTTCTATATTCTGCTCCATCATAGATATCTTCTAAAGCAGTATCGTTAATTTTTGAACGATTAAATCTATAAGTCAGAAGAGAATCAATAATAGTTGTATTCTTAAGAAGTCTCTTAAATTGAGATTCCAAATCTATGGATAAAAAATAATTTGAGGAGTAAACACTGATAACATGTCCACAGTTGCAATCATTGCATAAATGCAATGCATTTATCATTTTCAAAATATCTACTTGTGCTAGCCACGATAAATTATGCCTCAATCCTAGAGTCAAACACATAAGCATAACATCTTCTGCAGTTGATTTTGTACACGGACATATAGTATGTTTCTCATTTTGTCTTTCTTTCCAAAAATTGTCTTCTTCATTGACAATGATACGAGAAGATTGTTGATAGGAAGACGGTTCAGATGTGTTCACATATGAAGAAATTTGTGAGTTATTTTCCAGAACTTCTAATTGAATTTCCTCAAATCCATCACTTTTTGAAGAATTCCTCAGTTCAGATTCCTGGCAAATTACAGGCATAAATAATTTCATATCAAGCTGTCAATTATGAAGTATGTGAAATAAATTTTATAAGTAAAAAAAAAATTCTTATTTCTCTTGTGGAAATCTAATAATGAATTTGGTTAGTTTTAATATACACTTAATGCATATTAAAAGCTGTGATATATAAATTTATAATAGCATTAAAACTAAATAGTAATTAAAACAATAAAATAATTGATAATACAAATTATTATCATCGTTATTCGTATTTAACAATAATAATAAGTAATAAAAATAATTTGTAATATTAATAATCTTATTGTTTTAATTATTTGCTATTGTAAATTTATACACGATACCTTATCTCTAAAATATAATCTATTGAAGTTTATATTTAAATCGGGCACGAACTTATGCAATCACCTGATACATCAGTGTGCACTAATGCATCCAAATTTGCTAAAAAATATTTTATCATGCATATTAAATTATTCACCTTATCCACTAACAATGAGTTCACAAATTTCTTAGGATTGTGAATGCAAGCATCATTTTCACTTGATATAATCTCATGCATGTTGTCATGCTCTGCATGTTCTTCACTTGACATAATCTCGTGCATGTCGTCATGCTCTGCATGTTTCTGAAATAAAAAAGAGATAACCGATATTTCTTTTTTTTACAAAAACTTATAGCGTCTTTCATTGGGAAAAACTCACAGCACTGAGTGCTTGAAATGTATATCATTGGTAATATTAATGATCATATTCTGAATGCTGCACATTTCATTGGGAGTGCAAACTACTCTCAGTGCGCATTGAGAGCATTTTGCATTCCCAATGAAATGTGCAGCATTCAGAACATGCTCATAAATAATACCAATGATATACGTTTCAAGCACTTGGTGCTGCGAGTTTTTCCCAATGGAAGACGCTATTAGATATTAGAAAAGCATTAAAACTAATTCTTTTTAAATAAATATTATACTTGAATCTAACATATATAATATTCTTAGTAGTCCATTTTATATGCGTCCTTTTTTTCCGTCGATACGCAGTGTTGTGCCTCTAGCCGCTAAGGAAGAGGTCTTTAGGGATTTATACGCCCAAAGGATTAGGATCCACGCTCGAAATAAGACACTCCCGGACGTTAGGTATAAATTAATATATTTCACAGGTTTTGGTACACTTTTACTTATTCGCGATTATAATAGTCAGGCGCGATGTACGGTATATCGATACTGTTGATATGAGCGAGCGAGTAAACGAGTAGTGAGCGATGTTAATGAGCTATATTACTGAGCTAGCGTCGGTGCATCTCGCGCTCAATATATATTAATTAATTAGGTCGTTGATTAGGAAGGAGTGTGGTGTCCCTGACCGGAGCATGTCTCGTGCTCCGCTCGTCAGCTGTCTAGTCAGCTGCTTACTCAGCTTCCGAGAACTTGACCGTAACTTCCTTCTCTTTAGTCACGTATCTTACTTTATTTTATTAATAATCTTTTATTACTTTTATTCTTTCTTAATTATCTTTCCTTGATCTCTTTTCTAATTTTAATGCATTGCTTTACTCAGCTCTTTCTTAATCTTTTCTGTTTAACTTTATTGTTTTATCTTTTAATATATTGAGAAATTGGTCGGGTTACGACAGCAGTACAACGAGGAATAGGAACATCCTTGAAAAGATATTGTTTATACTTCATAATGAAAGCATTATTTGAAATAAACAATAAATATGTAAAATTTGATTAAAATATGTAATATTTCCAATTATTTGGAAAATGCTTTTAAGAACTCTTTGGTCAGACAGTATGAATGCAAGTGGTGGCAGTCTCTATAGAGGTTAGAGGTGGAGGGTGGAGGATTAGAAATCGCACTTAGTTTATAGAGAAATGCTGTATAAAGCCAATAACTTGTCATTTGTTTCTTAACTTTTCACAAAAATATTTGATTTGAAATAGATATCTTTTACTGTATATGTTTTTACTGTATATTTCTTAACGCGAACTTCTCAACTTTATTTAACTTTTCTGATCAGTGGCAGTTTTGTTAGACGTTGACTAAGCCGCTTTTATACGCATGCGCATCGAATGCGGTATAAGCATAGACATAGTACATCTAGAGTGCGTTCCGTTTCACGCATTGAGCGCATAGATCGCCTGGAAATCTATAATATATGTTACGTGAACTCATAGACATAGTCAAGAAATCCGGCCGAAAGTTGCATCTAAATCCCAGCACTGGTCTAGATATACTATGTTTATGCGTGAACGATTTCCAGGCGATCTATGCGCTCAATGCGTGAAACGGAACGCACCCCTAGACCGAGTGTTGAGAAGTAGGGGCCAAGGTGCACGTAGAAAAACGCTAAAAAAAATTTTATTTTGTATCAGAAGTATCTTTATATCTTTTAATTGTATATGAATAAAGACTCATCTTTATAAAACTAAATGTTTAAATTTAAATATAATAAGATTCAAATATAATAAAAGTTATTTTATATTTAGCTTATTATTTAGCTTATTTATTTTTAATTTAGCTTATTTCGGAGTTTTTTAGTGAGTCATATAGCGGAATTTTAAATATTATAGTTGGCAACACTGGTTCTAAGGCCGGATCCATTTCTGGCAACAGGCCCATGTGAGATTGATGTTTCACCGCGAAACTTGTACATACGTGCAAAAGAAAGAGTCGAGATCAAACAGAAGAGTCGAGTTTGGATCACTGATCAATAAAATTGAGTTTGAGTCTTCGGTCGAAAGTTCATCGAACATTAAAGGAAACATTAATTTCTCTATGAGAGAAATTTCTTTGGCTTCACAAGCATATAACCTCATTATCCTAGCCCCCGGGCCGACCGGTCTGCGGGTAAAAAAAGTCAAGAATCAAGTTATTGACCATTTAGCACTCTTCCGTAAGTCAAGTACGATTTTTCCGCCTGGAAATTGCCGCTGCTCACATTCGTCTTGACAAATTAAGGTTCCGAGTCCATAAGCAATGTGAACGGGGGCTAATTGTTATTTTTTTAATTTGTTTAATATCATATTTTTTGTGTTCTATATTTTAGTATAATAATGATTTCCACGGATTTTAAAAAGTGGTATGCCAAAGTTAGATATTACAATGGTGATGTTGAAGATATTTCGGTGCGTAAAATTAAAACTCAAGAAGGTAACCAGTTTTCTCCCAAAAACTATAAAGACTTCAACTCCAATATTTTATATTCTGTAAAAACAGCAATGAACGATGTGGAAGGAAAAGAACAAAGATACTATGCGTACATTGGCAAGCTTGCAGGTAAGACCTACAAAGTAATTCTTGAAACAAATTATCTTTATAAAAATATTAATGGTAAATGTTCTATAACATTTATCAACTCATATATTAATTCTATATTATGTTCTTATTTTATAGGAAGTATCGAAGGATTAAATGATTACGATAAAAGAATTAGTTGGCCTACGTGGCCTTCAGATGCACTTGATGAACCCGACAATACTTCCCAAGATGAGAGACAGCAAAACACAGCATCTTCCTCAATTTTAGCTCATCGAGAAAAAGCAGTAAGTAAAACTTTAATCATTTGGGCACCTTGAGATGTGAGCATTCAGATTTTAGAATTGTTATAGCTGTATACATATAAAAAAACTCATACAAAATAGTGTTATTTTAATTATTTTAATACAAAAACTTAATTATTTTAATACAAAAACTGTCACATCCAAACTAAAAAACTATTTCACAAAATAGTTGTTTTAATTTTCTACAAAAATAATGTGATATATGATAAAAATATTGCGCCAACTAATAAAAATTTATGTTACAAAATTTATTTATTATTATTTCTTATATTAAAAATTGTATCAAATTGCAATGTGATTCAAATAGTGGAACATATTTAAGTGAAAGAAATTTTTTCTTAAGAAAGCAAATTTCAGTATAAAATAACTTTTTAATTAGAGAAAAACTTGGCGCTGCTAAACTGAACATATGCTAATTATCGTATTACGTATTATTTACATTTAGAATTTTTGCAGCGCCAAGTTTTTCTCTAATTGAAAAGTTATTTTATACTGAAATTTGTTTTCTTAATAATATAGTTATTTATTTCCATGATATATAACTGATAACATTTCTTTATGTTTATTTTAGGACAGAAAAGGAGGCAGTAATAGCAGATCCATCTATAGTTTCAACTGCTACATCTTTAACTTCAACTGTTTCATTGACTTCACAGAAAGCTTAAGGAGAAAAAGCTCGTCAAACTTCAAAATGTCGTTTCAGTTCAAAGTAATAATAATGTAAAATATATCCTTGCATTTGTATCTTTTTTTAAAAATATTTATACCCTGCCGAAAATGGTCGATTAAAACCGATTAAAACATAATCCGTTTTAATCGGTTTTAATTGGTTCAATCCGCGCCCGGATTAAAAAGTAATCGATTTTAATTCCGAACGAACTATAATCGGTTTTAATATCGCTTTCGCGGATTATTTCCAATCTAAAATCATTACATTCTAATCCATATTGTTGTCAATCCAAATAAACACGAATAATCGAATGGATATTGTGGCTGCCGTAGGTCGTCACATTAAACATAATCCGCGATACAATAGTGCGACCCGCAATTTGGCGGCCCACGCGCTCGCGCGTTCGCGCATAGTTCCGAGCGGCGCCGCTACGCGGCGAAGGTCGAGCGAGCCAACCTGGAAGTAGAAAGCGGTCAAGCGGGGATATAAGGCGGACCCTCTGCGGAGAAATCGTATATTTGTTTTTAACAACTGAATCCGTTTTAATTGTAGAAACACCGATTCAATCATTGATCGTGACTCATGATAACAGCAAATTCGACTTCACACTACATAAAATCAATTTACTTTTCATCTGCGAAACTCGCCTGAAGCATACTAATCGCCTGAAGTGTACTAAATTCGATTTGACTATTTTCAATCGGTTTTAATACCGCATTTTCGGTGCAGAAATCCCGATCGATTCGGATTACATTTTTTTAAATCCGTTTTAATCGACCATTTTCGGCAGGGTAGTTTTATTCTTTGACTAATTGCTCGTTCTTTTCTTTTTTAAACATATAATTAAAACATGAATATATCTTAATCATACAACTATTATAAAAATACAAATATTACAAATATTATAAAAATAAGAATAAAAATATTTTAAGATTTTATTATGATATTTATTATTTATGATTATTTATGATATTGACTTTTTTATGGGACATTGCCTGCCTTCATTTGTTATAATCGGGTGTTATTGAAATATAATGTTATTGAAGTGTAAGAAATTCCAGATTTTATATCGGATCCAGAATTTGAACTGAATTTGAATCAAATTTTGAATGTCATATTAACTGCTTTAATAGTTTATTTCTATATTAAGGACAATGAGTAAAATACGATTAATCTGAAATATCTAAAAAAATTTTTCACTATTCACTATTAATTACTATTTTGCAATATTTGTATTATATTGCTTTTTATATATAATTAAAAAATTTACAGAATAATAGGTATAAATTCTAGATCTATATAAATTCTGAAATTTCTTACATCTCGATAACGCTCCATTACGTTTCGTTCACGTTTGTCGAGAAGCTTGAGGACATTCCACTCACGTTCGTCTGGGAGCTCGATGACACTTTGTTTCCGCTCCTTAAGAAGCTCGACACGCTCCGTTTACATTCGAGAACGTTTTGCTTACGCTTGTTGAAGAGTTTGACGATGCTTTGTTAACGCTTTTTTAACGCTTAATAGCCGTTTTCTTTACGTTCCGATGTTTCAATGTACGCCTTCTAGAAGTTTTGTTTACGCTTCCGTCACTCTTCTTTTACACTAGATTTACTCTCCAATTCACGTTTTGTTAACGCTCGTTTTACATTTTATTTTCGCCAGGGTTTCAATTAAAATATCTCAGGAAATAAAGTTTATAATAAAAAATCTAACGGCACTTTTCTGATATAATATTGACACAAGCTTTCGATTGCCACTAGTTTGAACAAGATTGGTGCAGTCAATCTTTAAATCTCGAGATCTATTTCGCGAAAAGTGACATTTTTTCCGAGTTTCCGATTTTAGACTCACATACCCACACACTCGAAGCGAGTTTGTTCATGAAGGTGCACTTGCAACGCTCATGTATGAGGTATGTTAGAATGTGTGCACTCATATATGAATTTGTATCGTTTAATTTTATAAATGTAAATCTGTTAAAATAATTCTAAAAATAGCATGCGCGATTAGCTATCATTTATCAATAGTAATTTTTGGTAATTATACTATTGTCTCTTCAAACAAAAAAATTGTGCAATAACTTATTAACTATAATTGTGAATAATTTTGTTAATTCAATAACAGCATTTATGGAATAAATACATGTTTTATATTTATTTATTTTTATTTATTAATTATCAATTTTATTCAATTTTATTAAATATAAAATAAATAACCAAATAAATCAATAAACACAGTGCGTGCTAAAGATACAGAGAATGGGTATTAATAAATAACTTGAAAATAGAGAAATGCAGCTGGCCTTGTAACGCTAAGAATACATATATATTTTTGCAGAACAAATATTATAAAAAGAATCTACAAAAAGTAGTGAAATCCCTCCAAAAAAACCTTTCTAAGAGAAAGTAAAAAACATACGCCAAATACATAAATAGATATCGAAACTTGTATGTAATAAATATAAATTTAACAAAATGTTAAACACAGTTAACAAATTGTTAAACTATATAAAAACATACGTGAGATCAATGTAACTAGCCGAGTATTTATCATATGTTGTATGCTATAATACTAATTCATAATCGATGTTTAGTGCGATTAGGATTCCATTGATTTGCAAAGTATATCTTACAGGATGTATAATTTGAAAGAAAATTTCTTTAAACTCTAAGTCGCATTAAACAAACTTACACCAAAGCAAAGTATGAAAACTTGGTGTGCCCAGGTCGCAATAAACATATTGTCCCAGATTTGTGTTGTATAATATTTCATATTATGTGAAAATTACTTGCGTCATTTATATAATAAAAGTATGGTAATTATTTACTATAACGGACCCAGCTCCAATGACGTTGACCTTGACATATGTTGTCAAGGACATAATCTTGAGTAACTTTTTCTTATAACTTAATCGGCGGTCATTGTTTATTAAAAAGTTATTAACAAATAAAGTTTGAGAAATAAAACGTAATTTTTACATGAGTTTGTAATTTCCACGTAAGAAGCGAGGTCCATCCGCATCAGGACGTTGTATAACTCAAATCAAATTTTCAGAAATAGGTTTGAGTTAGGTTATATCTTCCGGAAGTGGAGCCCCCCCCCCGTAGGGGGGACGGAACCCACTGCGTTCACGCATATACTTTCTTATTCACACAACAATCGTGAGGTGAACTTCGCTTCGCGTTGTAAAGTATATGCGTGGACACAATGGGTTCCGCCCCCCCTTACGGGGGGGCTCCACTTCCGGAAAATGTAACCTAACCCAAACTTATTTCTGATTTAAAACTAAAATTTGGTGTGGATTACGTTGTATAATTCAAACCAAATTTTCAGAAATAGGTTTGAGTTAGGTTATATCTTCCGGAAGTGGAGCCCCCCCGTAGGGGGGACGGAACTCACTGCGTTCACACATACACTTTCCCATCCACACAACGTATCTTAAAAATTATAAGAGACCGCCGATTAAGTTATAAGGAAAAGTTACTCAGGATTATGTCCTTGACAACATATGTCAAGGTCAACATCATTGGAGCTGGGTCAGTTATAGTAAATAATTACCAAAAGTATTAGTATATTAAATATTTTAAAAACATTTAAAAAAATATATATAAATTTTCTTTTAATGATACATTTATACCTCTTGAAATGAATTTTCTTCTATTTTTCTTTTTTAAGCGTACGGCTAACACTTAAGATCGATGCCAATGGCATACGTCCTTCTAATTTTGTATATAAATACATGTAATCAATTATTTCTTAAAACTTTCTGAGAAATACAATACAAAAATTATTTTTCTAATTATTTTTCAATCATTCTTTTTATAATTTTTCTTTATATACATATATGGACAAAGAGCATATAAAGGAGAAAATATATGAACATATTGTAATGTTTTACATATGTATGTGCGTGTGTGTGTATATATATGTACAATATACTTAGGTTTAATGTTAATAAAACGTTATTATTCTTTTAATTGTGTTAGAAAAAAATCTTTTTAATAAAAATTATTTTATTTTAAACGATCTATTTAACCCTTAAATTCCACACTTCGTTCGCGCACCTTTACATTTTACACTGGTGTGAATTGGGATCTTACATTTTCAAAACAGTATAACTTTAGTCAAAATAAACGATTTTTAAGAGATAATATGTGTTTTTAAGAGTAACAATTCTTAAGGAATCGATTGGCGATATTAGTAGTATTGAGGCAAAAATAATATTTCATTTTAAAAAATGCATTTAGAAAAAAGTTTACATTGAAAAATGCAACAATGGGAAATTTTAGCTGGTACAAGCAGTGTGGAATTTAAGGATTAATGATATGAAAATTTTATTTCGTACAAAAGTTTTGTGATTTTGAAGAGGATATAAGATGGTGCCATTGATTTGATCTTGAATAAAAGATTATTTCAACGTCATCTTCAATTTTTTTAAAACCGCTCTAAGTTTTTTATATGAATCAATTCTTTGCAATATTTTTTTGTAAAATGTTTATAAAGATATATGACCAAAAATTGAATAGTTTACGAGCTATTTCATACTTTACGTAAAATTATGTCAAATTAAAGATTGAAGTGTAAAATTTTTATTCAATTTTTGGCCTTCATACTCTTATTTTTAATTTTTAACACAGAATATTACATGGAACCGATTCATATAAAAAAATTAAGGTGATCCCATTTAATAAAATAAAAATGACCTTAAAATAACCTTATGATTTTCATTCAAAATCAAACCAGTGGCATCATCTTATGTCCTCCTCGAAGTCACACAATTTTTGTCTAAATATATTTTTGATTCGATTTTACTCTGCAAAGATAAACGGGACGATAAATTAAAATAGGTTTCTCTGTATATACAGGATGGGCAATATTAATATTCCGCTTAAATTTTTTTTTTCTTATGTCTTTTACAATAAAATGTTTCAAAAGTTGTTTGATTTTAAGGGAGATACAAAACAGAGATATTAATTTGTTTAGAAATGATCCCTTTTGAAATTCATTAATCATCACTTTTCTTAAATAAAAACTGATTTTTCTTTATAATAAAAATTATAGTTCTCAT